CAGTGTAGCCTGGGTTGAGAATGCACCCTTCTAAAATGGCTTTTGTCTTAAGTTTCTGTAAGGCACCTCAGAAGTATTAACATTCAGTAACTATATGTTGGTTGATTTCCCAGCATATAGAATTAGGCAGGAGTATAAATGTAAACCCTAAACCTAAAAAGGGTATGCCTATGATTATGATCAGAAATTCATGGGGAAGGTTTTAAAATTTTCCCTACTTAGACACTGAGCCAAGGTTGAGAAAAAAAACTTCCTTGTCGTCTATGTCTCTGTTTATTTTTTAAACCCTCTATATTTTTAGGTTTTAGAATTTTTCTTACTTTTTAAAAAATTGTACTTTAAGTTCTGGGGTACCTGTGTAGATCTCGCAGGATTGTTGCATATACACACACATACCATGGTGGTATGCTGTCTCCATGCCCCCGTCACCTACACCATGCATTTCTCCCAGTGTTATCCATCCCCATCCTCCCCACCCCTGCTGTCCCTCCCCTAGCACTCCACCCTGCAACAGACCCTGGTGTGTGATGTTCCCTCCCTATGCCCATGTATTCTCATTGTTCAACACCCACTTAGGAGTGAGAATATGCGGTGTTTGGTTTTCTGTTCTTGTGTCACTTTGCCGAGAATGATGGTTTTCAGATTCAGCCATGTCCCTGAAAAGAACAAACCGATCCTTTTTAATGGCTGCATAGAATTCCATGGTGTATATGAGCCACATTTTCTTTGTCTAGTCTATCATTGATGGCATTTGGGTTGGTTTCAGGTCTTTGCTACTGTAAACAGTGCTGAATAAACATACATGTGCATGTGTCTTTATAATAGAACAATTTATAATCCTTTGGGTAAATGCCCAGTAATGGGATTGCTGGATCAAATGGAATTTCTATTTCTAGATCCTTGAGGAATCACCACACTGTCTTCCACAATGGTTGAACTAATTTACACTCCCACCAACAGGGTAAAAGTGTTTCTATTTCTCCACATCCTCTCCAGAATCTGTTGTCTCCAGATTTTTTTTTTGAGACGGAGTTTCGCTCTTGTTGCCCAGGCTGGAGTGCAATGGCACAATCTCGGCTCACCGCAACCTCCGCACCCTGGGTTCAGGCAATTCTCTTGCCTCAGCCTCCTGAGTAGCTGGGATTACAGGCACGTGCCACCATGCCCAGCTAATTTTTTGCATCCTTATTAGAGACGGGGTTTCACCATGTTGACCTGGATGGTCTCGATCTCTTGACCTCGTGATCCACCCGCCTCAGCCTCCCAAAGTGCTGGGATTATAGTCTCCAGATTTTTTAATGATTGCCATTCTAACTGGCATAAGATGGCATCTCAATGTGGTTTTGATTTGCATTTCTCTAATGACCAGTGTCGATGAGCATTTTTTCATATGTTTGTTGGCCTCATGTATGTCTTCTTTTGAAAAGTGTCTGTTCATGTCCTTCGCCCACATTTGAATGGGTTTGTTTGTTTTTTCTTGTAAATTTGCTTTAGTTCTTTGTAGATTCTGGATATTAGCCCTTTATCAGATGGGTAGATTGCGAAAATTTTTCCCATTCTGTTGGTTGCCGGTTCACTCTAATAAGTGTTTCCTTTGCTATGCAGAAACTCTTAAGTTTAATTACTTCCCATTTGTCTATTTGGCTTTTGTTGCCATTGCTTTTGGTGTTTTGGTCATGAAGTCCTTATCTATGCCTATGTCCTGAATGGTTTTGCCTAGATTTTCGTATAGGGTTTTTATGGTGTTAGGTCTTATGTGTAAATCTTTAATCAATCTGGAGTTAATTTTAGTGCAAGTTGTAAGGAAGTGGTCCACTTTCAGCTTCTTGCACATGGCTAGCCAGTTTTCCCAACACCATTCATTAAACAGGGAATCCTTTCCCCATTGCTTGTTTTTGTCTGGTTTGTTGAAGATCAGATGGTTGTAGATGTGTGGCATTATTTCTAAGGCCTTTGTTCTGTTCCATTGGTCTATAACTCCATTTTGGTTCCAGTACCTTGCTGTTTTGATTACAGGAGACTTGTAGTATAGTTTGAAGTCAGGTAGTGTGATGCCTCCAGCTTTGTTTGTTTTGCTTAGGATTCTCTTGGCTATGTGGACTCTTTTTTGGGTCCATATAAAGTTTAAGGTGCTTTTTCCAGTTCTGAGAAGGTCAATGGTAGCTTGATGGGGATAGCATTGAATCTATAAATTACTTTGGGCAGTATGGCCATTTTAATGATACTGATTCTTCCTAACTATGAGCATGGAATGTTTTTCCAACTGTTTGTGTCCCCTCTTATTTTCTTGAGCAGTGGTTTGTAGTTCTCCTTGATAAAGTTCTTCACATCCTTTGTTAGTTGTATTCCTAGGTATTTTATTCTCTGTGTAGCAATTGCGAATGGCAGTTTGTTCTTGATTTGGCTCTCTTTAAGTCTGTTATTGGTGTATAGGAATGCTTGTGATTTCTCCACACTGATTTTGTATCCCAAGACTTTGCTGAAGTTGCTTTGTCAGCTTAAGGAGATTTTGGGCGGAGATGATGATGGGGTCTTCTAAATATAAATTATGTCATCTGCAAATAGAGACAATTTGATTTCCTCTTTTCCTAACTGAATACCCTTTATTTATTTTTCTTGCCTAATTGCTCTGGCTAGAATATCCAATACTATATTGAATAGGGGTGGTGAGAAAGGGCATCCTTGTCTAGTGCCAGTTTTCAAAGGGAATGCTTCCAGTTTTTGCCTGTTCAGTATGATATTGGCTGCGGGTCTGTTGTAAACAGCTTTTATTATTTTGAGATACATTCAATTGACACCTAGTTTATTAAAGGTCTTTGGCATAAAGGGCTGTTGATTTTTGTCGAAGGCCTTCTCTGCATCAGTTGAGATGATCATGTGGTTTTGTCTTTGGTTCTGTTTATGTGACAGATTACATTTATAGATTTGTATATGTTGAATCAGCCTTGCATCCATGGGATGAAGGCTACTTGATAGTGATGGATAAGCTTTTTGATGTGTTGTTGCATTCGGTTTGCCAGCATTTTATTAAATATTTTTGCATCGATGTTCATCATGGATACTGGCCTGAAGTTTTCCTTTTTAGTTGTGTTCCTGCCAGGTTTTGTTATGGATGATGTTGGTCTCATAAAATGATTTAGGGAGAATTCCCTCTTTTTATATTGTTTGGAATAGTTTCAGAAGAAATGGTACCAGCTCCTCTTTGTACATCTGGTAGAATTTGGCTGTAAACCTGTCTGGACCTGGACTTTTTATGGTTTGCAGGCTATTAATTGCTGCCTCAACTACAGACCTAGAATTTTCCTTACTTTCTTGTAAGAACAGCTATGCAACCAAAATGATTTTGTTGCATTTTATGGCATTTCTAAATATGTAGTAGTACGAGAGTTTTCAAGTTACTATTAAGTTGCCTGTCCAGGAATTCTCTATTAAATCCTTTTATTCTTCACATTGCCTGTGGCACAGCATCTAGTAAGCAGCAGTATATCATAAATGTGATGCATGGCTGGTTGAATGAACAAATTACTATTCTTTATCAGCATTCATTTCCTTCATTAATTCTTTTCCTCTAACTTTGATTTCCCAAATTATTCATTATAAATTTGTGAATTACATATTTTATGGACTTCATTCAAGACTAACATAATTTTCTCACATTAACTATTATACTAGTCATGGTAATCCTGCATTCAGTTTCTTTCCTTCTATTTGACCTTCATGGATCTGTTGGTCCTCTTTTTACCAAGAAACTCTTGCTATGTCATTTTACTGCCAATGGGCTTGCAAAAACCTTATTTTGATCATTTTTATCATCTTAAACTCTTTTCTTTCAATAGTTATATTCAATTGGATTTCCACTAAATAAGGTGGTGTCAAGTGTGAGTAGCACTTAATCATTGACTGCTATTATATTCTGCTTTATTCTTGATAAGTTATAAATCTGAGGAAGATTCACATAAAAATTTGTTTTAGTTTCCAGATGGAAATATTAGAATATCAGAATAATATTTATAAATATCATAACTATTTTAAAATCCTAAATAATAAAATAGAAATTGCTACTTCTTACATATTTCTGCCATCTTCACAAACATTAGAAACACACCATATATTTACTAAAACATATACACACCATCTAATTATACTTTTCTTCATACTTATATATGTATAAAATTCACAGAAACCTTCTCTCCTTTACACCTCAACACTATCATATATCTTCAGTGAAATTGCTGCAAACCCGAGTATGATGTCAAGAACCCAATGGACATTTAATAAATATTAATTTGTGACAATCATGGTAATCTCACACAGGCCTTTTGAAAGTGATTTTCAGAAATCATTGGCTACTCTTTGACATAGATTAAAAAACCCTCCCTCAGAAGAAATGATTGCCTTTCAATCACAGAAGAAAAAAATGCAGCAAAAACAAGTGAGATAGAGTCTTTTTATTTTTAAGCTTTTTATTTTAATCCAGTGTATTACAGCATTAGGTAACATAAAGATTTCGGATAAATAAAACTATGTAAACTCAAGTTAGTGACATACAATTATAGAGGGTTTAACATTTTTCCATATACTGTGGTATGCACTAATAAATTCCAATCTGTAGTTTTAAATACAGTAGCATCTAAGCACTGATACAGACCTGCAATTATGTCAATGGACATCCTATGAACATTAGTAGTGAAGATACAAATCCACTGCAGTAAGCTGATTAGCAATGCTAATGTGCATACTACACAGTCATATAATTAGAAAGAGTTTTACTCACAGTGATGTTGAGGTTAGGAGGTTAGGACAGTTTCCATTTCAAAAGATGGAAGAATCCAGGTTACCATGATAGAGAAAAGTAAATCACCTAACTTAAGCTGTTGAAAATATCATGGTTTATTTTTTTTAAAAAACTTCTACCTTTCTTTGTGAAAATTAAGGTAAATTATGAATTAATTCTTTCCCTGCTAAAAGAGTTTTTTTTTTTTTTTTTTTTTTTTTTAAAGCAGACCTTCGGCCGGACGCGGTGGCTCAAGCCTGTAATCCCAGCACTTTGGGAGGCCAAGGTGGGTGGATCACGAGGTCAAGAGATCGAGACCATACTGGTCAACACGGTGAAACTCCGTCTCTACTAAAAATACAAAAAAGTAGCTGGGCATGGTGGCACATGCCTGTAATCCCAGCTACTCAGGAGGCTGAGGCAGGAGAATTGCCCGAACCCAGGAGGCGGAGGTTGCAGTGAGCCGAGATCGCGCCATTGCACTCCAGCCTGGGTAACAAGAGCGAAACTCAATCTCGAAAAAAAAAAAAAAAAAAAAAGCAGACCCTCAATAGGCAGGATAAAGAATCTCCACCATGTAACACTACATTAGTCCAACTAAGTTGTCTCCTCATTGTCCACCTAAGAGAGAATGGAGCTTGATTAGATTAAAAAAATAATAAAAATGTTCATGGTTTCCCATGAAATGGAAAGATGTACAGGGAGATGTCGAGGAGAAAAAGAGCAGGGAAGGCAGTCAGTAACAAACACTTGTTTATAATGATGATAAGAATCCATTTCCTTTATGCAACTTTTTTGGTGTTCTGTTTTTATATCCCTTCTCAGCTATAATAATCTACAAAATATCCTTAGCTTTGGTGGTTTGTAATTAGCTAAAATAAACAGTTATCTTTGCTTTAAATGGAGAACAACTGTTAGTCGATCACTTAAAATATTTGCAGATAATTCCATCCTGAAACCATAGGTGTAAAAACACTTAAAGTTGAGACAAGCTATTTTATTTCTGACAAGATTTATCACAATTGGAACATGTCACCCTCATCATACTTTGTGGTGGGATAAAGTAGTGTTGTCATTCTGCTTTAGAGAAAGAAACTGGATCATTTCTTTTAAGTCTTGTGATTATATTTAAATCTTATATACATGCCCTGAAATGAAAAGGTATTCTCATAAATCCTTGCATTATGCAGGAAAATGTCAACTGCAGCTTTAACTAACATTATGTGAGACAAAAGGAAGCCCAAAGTATCCACTCTTGATAAAGACTAGATGTTAACACACATGCGCATGCGTGTACTCACGCACGCACGCACACACACTGTGCCTCCTTAGAGAGCTATTTCTATTTTCATAATATGGTTAAGTTAGGTTTACCCAAGGAAAAAATTTTAAAGCATTTATCATTTAACACTTCAATGGAATTACTAATAGGAATTATATTGAAGTAGGTCATCCCAAATCCGCTCTCAAATGACAAGAGATCACATATAAGTCAGCAAACATTTCAGACACAATAGCCACAAAACCCCCTTAATTATTACCAGGTATATGGTCTAGTATAATAAAGATCAAATAATTTAAATTTCAAGCCAGACTTATAATTACTATCTTACTACCATCTCAGTTAATCACTCATAAAGTAGATGGTTCACCTACCAATAAAATAAGTATTTGCCTTTCTTTCAGTCCATGATACATCCTATTATTTTAGACACCACACACACACACACACACACACAAAACCCTATGGCTAGAAAAATATGAATTCAAGTTAAAGATAGTAAACAAAGGAAAGTTATCTTACTTAAATAAATAACCTTCGAAGTTGTAAATTTCTAGTTCATGGAACATATTTGTCTTACTCTTTGGAACATGCTTTCTAACTCATTCACACAGAAGTCACTATAAAGTGCTAATTAATACTAATGATGAAATCTGTAAAGGATTATTTCGGGCCTTCCTTACTGACTTGTACATACCTGTCCTAAGTTAATTTGTGTGTGGGCAGGGGGAGTCCTATAAGCCTCTACTATTCCACAATGAGGAAGAACCACTATGAGAGTATACCTTAAGAATAAAAAAATGTGATGCTTTTGGTAAAATCATCTATTTATGAACTAAGTATAAAATGTAAAACACCTTATGTCTGGGTGTTCTAAATTTACATCAAAAGTTCTTAGTTTATGATTCTTAAAATATGGGAACTGAACAAGTACTCGTTGTTATCACTAGTCACTTACTCCTATTTTTGGCTGACCACATTTCTGGTTAGAGCTCTGTTTGGAAGCTTTAACATATTTTGGCTGTTACACATTACTCCTGGCTGAAACTATAGCCAAGGAAAGTTGCTTGTCAGTTTACTAACAGCAAATTATTCAAACATGTTCTATCATTTGTAATTTAGAGGGCCTGTGGAGAGAGGGGAGAGAGGAAGGGAGGAACAAACAAAGGTTGGGAGGGTTTTCTCAGGGTTAACAATAAAATTCTAAAAATTGTTTCCATTGTTGAGTTAAATAATTTAAGTTTTAAGCTTAGCCCAGACTTGCTTTTAAGAGTCTACATATTTTATCTGTGATGAATTACATTATCCTCACTCTTAGTCAGAGATGCAATATCGTCTTTATTTTAACATACTTCTGTGGAGGCATGTGGGTTCCATAAAAAATGAGCAACATTAAACAGTTTCACTTTATTGTGCTACTGAGATAGTAAGCTCTATTATCCAAAAGTCAAAATGCAAGCTAAAGTATCTAAATGAAATATTCAGGAAATCTCTTTATAGTTCTTTCAGCGTTCTTCTAAATAAGATTATTTCTTTCCTATGTTCCTAGTCTAAAAACTTTAACTCCATTCTCTTGAATGAATGAAAACTATTGAAATTCTTATTTTCCCCTAAAATCCATGACTCGCCCATAATTGTGGGACCCAATGAATCCTCCTATTGACTGAAAATACATTTATATCTTCATTCAACAGACGATTCTCAGCAATGGAAAGGAAAAAATCACAACTGGATACTTTTGTGCATTTGAAATCATAATGAAAAATAATATCGTAGCATGATATTTTCATGTAACAAATAACTATATATATACAATATACAGACTGGATACTGAGGGATTACTGTATACACACACACATACAGTCATCCCTCAGAATCCTAGGGGAACTGGTTCCAGGACCCCCTGCAAATACCAAAGTCCATGGATCTTCAAGTTCCTTCTATAAAATGGTGTAGTATTTGCATATAATCTACACACATCCTCTCATGTACTTTATATCATCTCTAGATTACTGATAACACAATGTAAATGCTATATAGATAATTATTATGCTATATTGTTTAGATAGTAATGACATAAAAAAGATCTGTACATGTTTAATACAGACACAATCATCCATTTTATTCTGAATATATTACAACTATTAAAACTCCAGTTGGTTGAATCCATGAATGTGGAACCCATGATATGGAAGTATAAGTGTATATATCATACATATTTTTCATATATAATCATGGTCATTATGTAAAAATATGTATGTGTACATATGGAGCTTTATCTATATTAATATACTACTCCTTATCTTGATTTTACCTTCAACCTGCCTTATCTTGATTTCTACAATAATTATCATTTGAGCAGGGGAAGAAACACTATTTCCATTTTATAGGTGAAAAGAAAAAAGACTGAGAAAGTGACTGATCCAAACTCAAACCTATCAAGTCGCACAGCCAAGCTTTGAACTAATCAGTCTTTTCATATGTTTCACTGTGATAAAATTATAAGCATTGTTAGAAATGTTCAATATTTAACCAATTTCCTTGTTAACATATTTCAATAACAATTTTTAGTAATATCTGTACCAACTAATTTTTATCGTAAGTTGCAGCTCTGCACATATATGCAGAAAAAGTATAAACTTTAAAGGTAAAAAACAGACCATTTACATGGATTCCAAAATAAATCACTTTGCTAATGTTAGGAAAGGTCTCATTCAGCTAATGAGAATAAACAGTATAACAGCACTGAGATCAACTTTATTTAATAATTTGATTTCCGCCTTTAGCATTTTTTATGACATTAGAAAATATGTTAATTTTTCTGTCTGAATTAAGATACATAATGCTTCTTAAGGTCAAGAGAAAAGGAGTACTTTTTATATAGGGCATTATAGGATTGCCTTGAAGGGCCTGAGACCTAATTTACGAAGGTAGACATTCACATCATCCTTCCTTTTGTACGTGTGCACATTATTGCATCGGCTGGCTGTTTTCTATCGTATGATCTCCAAAATAGAGTTCTATTATTACTGCTTTTTCTAACATCTCTCTATTAATATCTCACTCTCTACCCAGGCTTCCTTGTCATTATCTCCTACATTCTGAGAAGTCCTGATGTTATAAAGATATTAAATAAAAGGTGTAAGTATAGCTACAGCCCAAGCCAGCCCACCAAAATTCAGAGGCCAGACCGTCCCAAGGAAACCAACCTGAAAGTAATAATGTTAATATTTGTTTAATGTTTTAGAGATTCTTATTATATGTTTAAAATTTATTAAAGATGATTTAGACCATTAGCCTTTAGAATACTGCATTAACGCACATATCTATTTTTATTATTTAATTCATTATACTGTATTAAGAACTTGATTATATTCTTCTAAAAATATTACCATTAACTTGCAGATATCTACTAATGTGTGATCCTGTTTGTAGATTAATCAAGGCCCCTTGATTTTCATACTCCCCACGAGCTCTGGACAAAAAAAGAAAGTGGAAAAGTAGTAAATCAAGAAAATCTGTAGAAGGCTTTTAGAGAAGAGATAAATTCACATAGATAAAACAATCTAACAAAAATCTTCCTGACTACAATTCTTTTTTGCCTGACTTTAGTATCTTCTCACTGAAGTATGAATGGTCAAGTAGAAGAGGTAGAAATACTGATTACAGAGATAGAGATAATACAGTACGGGTCAAAAGAAAAGTGTAATATTATTTCCCAAAATGCAACGCTTCTTTCAAGATCACATTTTCATGCATTTATGTATAAAAAATAATTAAGTTGAATAGAAAAACATTTGGTGTGTAATAATAAACTTTATTGTTGACTTTCAGTATCTCTTTTAATTTATTCTATGGGGCTTCCCATGTCTGTGTATTAAATCTAGGGCATATTTCATGTTTTCATTCATTTATACTATCAGAATATTCAGCAATTAATGTCTAGTCTAGTCTGGTACTTAAAATTTTGAAGTCCTGTTATAGGCACCTGCCATGAGAGAGGGTGGTCAGAATCTCACTTGCAGATCCTTTGATTTAACTGAAACTCTTTCTCAGCTTACTGCTCCTGAGAAGATGGCACTTCAGTGGACTTTTGGGATCATTGGGCCCCTCCATGCAGTCTATGCATCTAAGTCAACCCTGTATCACCTTTTCTGTGGATATGACCTACTTCTGATCCATGACATACACTTAAGAAACATTTGCCTAACAGTTACCTGTCACTCCACCTTCAAAGCAGCTGGCCCATCGGTCTCATGCTCTTTAGATTTCTTAGGCATAAGTCAGCTAGCAGGTCTTAAATGGCAGGGGTCACTTATTAAGTTCTACATCTCTTAAAGCCTTTCTCTCTTGGATTCAGATGAAAGGAGACCCTCCTTTCCTTCCCCTTGGAGGGCTGGGCGCGGTGGCTCATGCCTGTAATCCCAGCACTTTGGGAGGCCAAGACGGGTGGATCATGAAGTCAAGACATCGAGACCATTCTGGTCAAACAAGGTGAAACCCCGTCTCTACTAAAAATACAAAAATTAGCTGGGCATGGTGGCGCATGCCTGTAATTCCAGCTACTTGGGAGGCTGAGGCAGGAGAATTGCTTGAACCCAGGAGGCAGAGGTTGCAGTGAGCCGAGATTGCGCCATTGCACTCCAGCCTGGGTAACAAGAGCGAAACTCCATCTCAAAAAAAAAAGGAACCACATAACTGTTTTTCTCCGTCCTGCTCCTGTAAGAACTGGAGGGTATCTTCATATCTTACCTTAAAATCTTTTGTCTTAGGGCCATAGTTAAAACAAACACAGAGAGTCCCATTTTAAAATTCTGTTACACATGGTTACAAACTTGCACCAAACTCAAGGTTAGGGGAAAGATTTTTTTTTAACCAAATAAGAGCAAATGCTCGCAGATCATTTGAAATTGTTTATTGCTGAAGATAACTAAATGAACAGTACTTACCACCATGTTTACATTTGCCAATCATATGCTATCTTCATATCAATTAAATAAAAATATAAAATTATTGATGATTTTCATGTACCAAGGATGAATACTCAAATGCTAAGAAAACATTCATATTACTCTACACCCAAACTGTTAACCTTATTTCCATAGAGGAATTTCTATATAGAATCCAGAGGTAAACAAGAGCCCAGGGAGAAGAAAATGTCTGTCCTTTTGGCAACATTATTTTATTATAAGCTTTTAAGAAATAATTAACATCATAGAGGTCAAATAGAGATTTTATACCAAAGAAGATATTGGCTCCGTGAAAGCAACAAATTGATTCTATGCAGAATGAAAATCGGGAGCTGATTTTAAGTCAACAGTTTTGTAACATGGAAAAATGATTTTAAATGGATTCTGGTGGGTGTAAAAATTTTTCTCCAGAACTTTCAATGGTGCTTGATGAGAATCAACCTTTGACTTCCATAGCACTTGGGTTTGAAATGCTTCTGGAACCTCAGAAATCTTACTATTAGTATTTCAATATGATCCTTTTCCATTTTTTTGTGAACATCAGAGATACACTAGTTATATCACTATGAAATATTTTCCTTATAATTTGCCATTTTAACAAGTCTTTTCTTGGCCTTTTCAAATTTTACTTGCTCTTTTACCATTATCTGTTTTTAAAGCATCTTTAATTGGTTTGAATTTTAAGTATTAGTGCAGGGTTTATCTGGCAAAAAAGAGTTATTTATGGAAAAAAATTAATAACTAATTAAAACTATGCTTTAGCACATTTCATCAAAACTGAGAAGAATATAATTTAGAATGCAATCTATCCAGAAACTGATTTTTGAGCACTTGCTTCTGGTTACTGATTATCCCATAGACTTAGAGAAAGAACTATATGAGGTATACTTGGGTACACGGTGAGCATGTTAAAATTAAGACATAGCATTAATGTAAAATTCTTGGCAGAAGTCAAACAAACCATCATGTGAATATAGATTTTCATATCTAATTCTATGAGGCTTTTTTTTTTTGCCAGTTCTACAGTTTAATATTATTTGCTTTCTGCATTATCCTTCACAGGCTATGGCCTTTGACAAGACAATGACAGGCAAATATTTATAAGCCATAGATTAGTCATAAATTTGATCCAATCAAATGATCAGTAAGCACATTCGTATTGCCACAGTTGTTATTATCTCTTTTGGAAAGGCATTGGAAAGTTTCATTTTGTTAATTTCAAATTAGCCAATTCTCAGAACTAATTGAGGTTCCAGTGCCCAACGGACAGCTGAAAGAACCTAAATTTGCTTCATTTCCTTCTTCAGTCCTGTCTTGTGTGTGTATGTGTATAAGTATAAAGACATGATTATTTTTGCAGCTTTTGGCCTGAATGCTTGTCACTCCATTTTATGTAATTCATTTTATAAAATGCAATTTACCCCTTTCCAAAAACGATGCTTCAGTTGCAATCTTTGTGTTTTTAGAATCTCCATGGAGGCAAGCTTAGCTAATAAATGTTGATTAATATAGCCAAATACTTCAAACTCCCTTTACTTGGAATACTATCATCCTACTTCAAACTCCCTTTATTTGGAATACTATCATCAGATTGGTTTACAGAGAGAAAGAAACAACAATAAGGTCAAGAGGAATGGAGATTGGGTAAAATAGCAATAAAAAGTAATTATATAAAAATGCTAAAGGTATAACATCTGTTTTTTTGCTTAGCTCACTGAGCTTGACAGTTCCAGATTTATGCTACTGTCCATGTTTAAAGAGATACAAAAAAGGGAAAGGGAAAAGAATGTTTATGTGAGACTATTAAATAGTGCAGGGAAAATACGACTCATTATTACACTGGTAAAGAAAAGAGAAACTCAGTAAAATTTCTTTCCACAGATTTGCCTTTGTGATCTGCAAGGTGCTGTTCCCCTGCTTACATTCCGTTACCCTGGCAACACACTCCTGTAAAATAAAGATTATTAAAGCGCATATGATTATTTTGCTGCTGAGTGAATAAGACAAGCCGCTTCTGAAATGCCTTATCAGAGAAATTCAATTTTAGGCCAAATTGTGTTTTTGCCTCCTTCTAGCTTTTCTCCTCCCTCCCCCCACTTCTTATAAAAACCATCATCTCCACATTTACTACATGGTATTTTGTTACCCATTCATATTCTTAGTATTTTAAGTCAGTTTTCTTTTAATTTCATGAAAAAGCATTTTACCCAATTTTTTATAGCTCTAGTCTATTTTCTAGCTATCTACCATCTGTTTGCAAATCAAAATTACAAAGCAATGTGTTCTTGCTTTTATTTGTTATATAGTAATAGTAGAAATATTGGGTTCTGTACCAAACACAAATGTATATATTATACATTGGCTATGCTATATTTGACCAAAGGATGATGCAAAAAGCTGAGATAAAGCATGTGGTGCCATTTTAAAGGCTGCATATCCAGCTGTACTGGTCATCCTCACCCTTAAGTTGAATGTCTTGTGCTATTTCATTTGACATTGCCCTAAAGTGATGTTATAGAGATGGGTAGTTTTACAGCCATGTTGACAGCCAATCACATCTTTGTTGCTTAGTATCTCTACATTTGGAGAAAAGATTCTTAGGAGCCCTGAAATTATTTAATGTATTTTAATATTAGCCAATTTCTTGAAAATATAGTAATGGCAACTTTGCTAAAACTATCTAGTGATTTCATTAGAAACTACAGCTTTTAGCATAATTGGGGTCCAAGCAGAGGTCAACAAAAAAAATAAGTAAATTGATAACAGTAAATGCATATTATGTTTCATGCTATCTGTGTGAAGAAGTTATCGTTTAAAATCTTTTAACACAGGAAAGAGTTACATCAGCTTCTAAGTAGAGGTGGATGGAATGAAGTTTGTTCACGAAAAGGTAAGTTTCCAACAAAGGCCACAGAGAAGATTCCTTACACGTCTGTTAAAGCTGGCATGAGACATGAATGGATAAGAACAGCCCTGGAGAAAGCTTCATCCTGTACTCTCCGACAGTGGACGGTTGAGAGGGATGATATTGTTAACTACTGAGATTGTTTATGGGACATTTTCTCACTGCTATAAAACACTGGCATATAACCTAACACTTCTGTGTCATGAAAAAAAAGCAGAAGTACAATGCTGATATTCTAATAACATGAAAACATTAATATTTGCTCTGTTAACACTCATTTTCAGGCCCAGCCAAAAACCATATTCTTACATTGAACAAGCATGCAGGCCCATTGGCTTGTTATGTAACTAACTACAAATCACTGTTTATTACTAAGAAACAACATTGATATTTAACAAGTTGTAGGAACTCTGAGCACATGTGAAATGAAATAGTAATTCTTCTGATGAAACAAACCAAAATCAAAGATTGTAAACCCAATCTTTGGTATGTTAACACCACCATGGAACTTATGACTATAATTCACTCCCAGCACTGCCCAGAAGGTGTCACCACAGCCTCATTGGCTTGAAGGACTTGGGGACATGTGGGGGAGTAAAAAGCAAGGGGAGGAAAAACAGACACAAAGAAAAAATAAATGTTCATGCAGACAAAGGAATATAAAACAAGTACTAGCTGTAATATAATGCCAAATACAGAAACCCAAGCATTCACCCCATGCTAAAACTACAAAATTACTATAGGAGAAAGGTGGGCCTCCACTTGTCAGTGAGAGTAGAAAGTGGGAGATTCAAGGAAGGTGTTACTTGAGGTAGTCATTTTGTAGAAAATAAAAAGCAGGTGATAAATAGAAAATATCCATGTACTGAGCCTGGTCCAAGCTTCTCACCTAAACTGATTTACCTCCTTATCACATCCAGTTGTATAAGCTGCACTGAATCATAT